GGCGTCACCCTATGCAGCAAGGAGCCTGGTCGGCCCTCACTGAGGCGTCACCCTGTGCAGCAAGGGGGTGGCATGCTGGCATATCACGTTAACATCTGCTGACCCAAAAAGAAAAATTTGCTGATCCTTGGACGAAATTTGACTTTCAATAATAAGTATAATTCTATACTCTAAACTCTGCTCTCTAAGGAAGAGTCTCTCTCCTATAGAGCACAAGGCTCCAGAGAAAGCTTTAAAGCTGAAACAAAAGCAGAGATTTTCAACACAGTGCATCTGCTTGCACCTTCAGTTATGTTCTGGTTAGAAATGAGAGGGAAGGAGCACTCCCAGTCAGGCCAGCAATGTGGCTAGAGCGCCAGGGCCTGGGCCGCAGCTAGCCACTGCTCCTGGACCCCGAGGCCAGCACTCCTTGCGCTGCAATCCACACATGGATCAGGGAGGCAGTGGTGAGAACGCAGACCTGAGCAGCAGGCCAGGTGGGGCTGCCTGCGTTTCCCACAAGCCCAGAGGGGGGCGGGCTCCTGGGCCTGGCAGGGTCCACCCTTTGCACCAACTAGGAACCCAGCAGGGACAATGACTGGGAGAAGCCCCAGAGGCAGGCAGAGACGGGCAACCCAGGCTTCTCTAGCACTTCAAATGCTGGCTCTTCACCACAGAATGAGGGAAGATGCAGAATATTGACAGAAATCCTACGGAGCAGGCCACAAACTCACAAGTTTCTAGGAGGCAAGCACACAAGGCGCTGAAATCCCTGACCTACAGCCAGTGTGAAGGTAAAGAAAAACGCTGAGTACCTTTTGTAGTACTCCTGGAACTGTCCGGGGATGAGAGCCACGGGGTAGGAACTAACCTTCGTCCGCTCTGTCGGTAACACTCTGTACTTCCCTTGAGGCACCTGGATAACCTGTGTCAACATGAAAGCAAGTCACTCATTTTCTTATCGGGACTCAGTGCTTCAGAAAAATAGTCCCCCTGCTCTCCACTACAGCCACGCAAAGAGCTACACACCTAAGACGGGGGTGCTGTGACCTAACGGGGCCAGATGCTTCCCAGAACACCACACGCGGGTGTTCTACCTGCCTCTTGCCACGATCTAACTTCTCGGGAAGGCAGTGTAAATCCGCTCACACTTAGCAGCCGTGTGGCCTGGGCAACTCATACCACCTGTCTACAGCTCCATTTGTTCATCTGTGAAATGGGTGGAACATTAGCTTCGGCCACACAGCAACTGTGAGAATTAAATGAATCAATATGGACAATCTCTTAGAACGATACCAGGACACAGAGCAAGTATGAGCTGTCAACCATAAAGCAAAGACAGCTCACCAGCAAAAAAAGAAAAGGCTGAGCAGCACTAGGCATTGGTAAAAACGCCGTGTTACGTTCTGGGAGGAGAGGGACCGACTGACAGCTGGCAGGAGGGGCAGCCCCCTCGGTCCCCTGGGGCAGCGTGTGCCGTAACCCGCGGGCAGTGCACGAGGGTGGGGCGCGGGAGCTGCGGTTGCCTACATGTGTCTGCAAGTCAAAGTAGGCTCTTCGTTCTTCCATGCGCTCCCGGTTCAGGTTGCTGTTGAACTCAGCAGCCTTTCTGGCAGCTTTCTTAATGTACTCAGGCACTTTGCTGGCTTCAACCTTCTGAGTATTCTGTTGTTGCATTTGCTGAAATAAAAACGTTCCAGTTGGAAGTCACAAATGACACGACAAAACGTCATCCTCCCCACGCAAATAAGAGACGTAGGTCCCCTGGCTTGCCTACCGAGTACTCCTTGTAGTGGTCTGTGATCCGCTGACGCTCCTTCTCTTGCAGGATTACAGAGTACTCAGCGTGTTTGGCTGGATATTCTTTTATCATCAAGTCAATCACTTCGTCACTGCGCAACGCCGTTAGACCTGTGTTAGACCGAAACAAGGGTGAAAAAGTTCCTTTGCAAAATTTGCTTCTTCTTCAAACTACTCTACATTCAAAAAGTTTTCCAATAGTTGAAACAAAATACCCTACTACAATGAAAATTAGTATTCATAATGTAAAGTCAAACAATTGAAAAGAAATATATTGCCAAAGTTGCAAATCAATTTTTCAACCAAGATTTTTTTATTAGATACTCTGTACTATAAACATACATCCCTTTACGTAGAAACAATTGCTAAATAAGTGACGATGTACACTAACTTGTAACAAATATTACAGGACACTGGACAATTAAAACACAATTTTTCAGTTATTCCAATGCCTCGTTTTCAAGTTCCGTACATCAGAAGCATCACTGCACGCGCAAATCATGTAGTTGACTTCCACAAATCAAGAAAACCAATTTCTCCACTTGCTCAAATGAACTTGCATGGATTTATATTTAAAAACAAATTCCTCCAAATCATGTTGCATTCCCATGCTTTTTATCACAGGGAAAACGGGAATCCAGCCTGGAGATACTGCAGAACTGAAGACTGAGCAGTGACATTCTGTTACAGAGAACATGCTTCATTCTCTTCTGCATTTTAATGATAATCAAAAATGAGGTAAGCAATTTAGCATTTAAATAGTTCAATCTATTTAAATTAATTAATTTAATTAATTTTAAAAAAAAATTAGGAAAGGAGATACAGACTCATCCAATATCACCTCATAAATGTTTAGCCTGAAAAATTCATATTGAAAGTTTTTATTACCTAGAGTACACTGGGTTTCTGTAATGACATTTAACTCCCTAAGGTAGAGTTTCTCCTTGTGAGACAAATCTCGTCGCTCTAAATCTCCAAAAAAAAGACAAAAGACTATTAAAAAGAGTGAAACATTATGCATTTATAAAATTTTTTAAGTTTAAAGGTAAAATCCTTTTTAAAAAGTTAAAATATTCATGGATTTTTAAAAGTACTGCATTCTATATGTTCTGAGCACTATCGAAGGGACCAAACAAAAATCTTCTAAATTCAAAAAATAAGTTAAAATGAAACTGAAAAGAGGGCAATCCAAAGCAGGAAGGTATACATCAATGACTACACGGAAGTGGTTAATCAGATAACGGCCTTTCTGAAACTCAGATGCAGCTGATTAGCCAAGGCCGTGCCTACGGTCAGTAGCCACACGTGGTGACAAATGTGGCTACAAAACCATCTTCTCTAAGACTTTCCCCAGAAAACCACCTTCCTCACTTTGCGTTTAAATCAGGTACAGGTGTAAGTAAGAACACCCTGATGGTGGAGGGAGGTGCTAGATGCTAGTACTAAGTGAATGTCAGCCAGCACAAGAACACATCACAAAGAATACCACCAGCTGAAAGTTACAGTAAAACCTGCAAAACCTGCAAGGTGGAAACCTGCCAGAGAAGGAAAACTCCAACATTTTCCACCAAAATGGGCGACAGAAAGGTGGTAAAACTGCACCCTGTCAAAAGGAGAAAACTTGCAAGACCTGGAAAAACAAGGCAGTCCCGTCGAGTTCCAGCTCTTACAGGTTTCACCGTATATGCAACTGCTCCATAAACTAGGACTTAAATACCTGGGTATTTCCGTTTGAAGGAGGTCACACCCAAGTACTCGCTGACTTGTTCTTGAAGCATATAGTACTCTCCCGTCTCGTCAGGGGGCCACTTGTACTCTATCAGATTCTCTGCTGGATAGTAGCTAAAGCTAAGCACAGAAATACATGTTAGTCCTTTAAGTGGCTTTTATTAAGTTTAAACCCAAACCCGCTGCCGTCGAGTCAATTCTGACTCATAACGACTCTACAGGACAGAGAAGAACTGTCCCATAGGGTTTCCAAGGAGTGGCTGGTGGATTTGAACTGCTGACCTTTTGGTTAGCAGCCAAACTCTTAACCACTGTGCCACCAGGGCTCCTTATTAAGTTTAAATCATGTTTATTTTTTGAGGATATTCTGAAAAACTATTTTAAGTATTTGTCTACTGTGACTTCATAATACAAAGAAGTTCCCATGATTTCAAGTGTATCAAAGAAACATATGAAACAAGTAGAAAAGAAACAATCAATGGGAATACCAAACCCAAAAAGTACAATGAAAACATTTTCTATATGCCACAAAGAACCAAGAATCACAACTGCTAGAAACAAAAGCATTTTTAAGCTTAAGAGACACAGGGAGGCACAAACAGGGTTGTGGTATCAGCTCTGAATTCTCTTGGGAGTCAGACCCACAGCCAGTCCTTAATGCACCCAAGGTACAAAGTAATCAGCTTCTGTTTCCCATTTCTGTGCTATTTAGTGAATCACAAACAGCTGAGAAAGAAGCAGAATTCTAAAAACCTATTTCTCAATGAACTGGACTATAAACCATAATTATTTGTTCTCAGATCATCCACCCAGAAACAAAGAATGGACCTAGTTTGAGGGTGCCAGTGTACTGCAAGTCACTCCCAATCCCAAACAGCAAAGACTATAAATTTCTGGATCTGAGCCAACTCAGCCTCTAAATTTTATCAGTGGACAACAGATGAAATGGACTTCTTTTATGCATTACATCATGCATCTATCCATTTAACAAGTAACTAACGAAAAGAAGAGACCTTTCAGAAATGGTGTTGGGAGAACTGGATATCCACCTGCAAAAGAATGAAGGTGGGCTTCTACCTCACATCATATATAAAAATTAATTCAGTCTGGATCAATGACCTAAATATAGGAGCTAAAACTATAAAACTTTTACAAGAAAACACGGGTAAATCTGCATGACCTCGGATTTGGCACTGAATTCTTTGTTGTTGTGACCAACAGAAGAAAAAATAAACCAGATTTTATCAAAATTAAAAAATTTTGTGCTGCAAATGATACCATTCAAGAAAGTGAAAAGACAGCTAGCACAATGGGAGAAAATATATTTGGTAAGGGACTTGCATCTAGAATATATAAATAACTCTTACAAGTCAACAATAAGAAAACAAATAGCTCAGTTAAAAACTGGGCAAAGATCTGGATAGACGTTATCTCCAAAGAAGAGTTAAGAATAGCCAACAAGCACGAGAAGATGCTCAACATCATAAGCCACCAGGGAAATGCAAATCAAACCACAATGAAATTCCACTTCACACCCACGAAGATGGCCAGATAACATCAAATGTTGATGAGGATGTGGAGAAACTGGAACCCTCGTACACTCACTGCTGGTGGGAACAGAATGTTACCCAGCAATTTCACTCTTAGGTATATATCCAAAGAAATGAAAACCTATATCCACAAAAAAATCTGTACATGAATGTTCATAGCAGCATCATTCATAATACCCATACATGCAAAGTCCAAATGGCCATCAATGAATGAATGGATAAACAAAGGGTGGTATATCCATACAATGTTACGTTATTCAGCCATAAAAAGGAACGACGTACTAATTCATGCTATAACATGGATGAACCTTGAAAACATTATCCTAAGTGAAAGAAGCCAGTCACAAAAGACCACATATTGTATCATTCCACTTATATGAAATGTCCAGAATAGGCAAATTCATAGAGACAAAAAGATTAGTGGTTGCTTAGTGATGGGAGTGGAGGATGAGGAAATAAGTGGATGATAAGGCATGGGGTTTCTTTCTGAGATTGTGAAAATGTTCTAAAATTGACTGGTGATAGTAGCACGTATCTAAACACACCAAAACCCATGGAATTGTATATTTCACATGGGTGAATTATGTGATATGTGAATTATAATTCAGTACAACTTATTTAAAAAAATAATTGAGCACTGTCATGTTTATAAGTAAATATCCTTGACAAGGAGATTTCAAACACAAAGAAGTCTTCTACATTAGAGGAGCTTAAGATTTAATTAGGAAAACAAAGCATTAACAACATAACTGAAGGTTGTATCAATGGCTTATACATAGATTTGTGATAACAAAATTTCTTTAGGCATACATTGTTCTCGTCAATTGCCATCCAGTCGATTCCCACTCACGGTGACCCCATGTGTACACAGCGAACTGTAGGGTTTTCAAGGCTGTGACCTTTTGAAAGCAGATCACCAGACCTTTCTTCCAAGGCACCTCTGGGTGAGTTTGAACCACCAACCTTTCGGTGGTTAGTCGAGCTAGCAGTCAAGCTGTTTAACTGTTTGTGCCACCCAGGGACTCCTCAAGTTGTTTTTGCAAAGACAATCCCATGACAAGTTTATTTCAGTGATTCTGCCATCAGCTAAAACTGTTTTGCAACTCTTCTTTTCAAAATCATTTTTCAGAATCATTATATACCAGAAATAGTCTCGTTACTTAATAAATCAACTTGACTCCTTTTCAAATGACCAAGACTGACCACTAATATGCTCAACAGTTCACATCAGCTCTGGGTATTTCCAAAACTTAAACCTTTATATACTGAAAATACTGCACAACTGAGAACATTTTTTTAAAAGTTGTTACAAGATCTGAAGGAACTATCACACCTTGCACAAAGTACAAAGGAAACACTGAACGACAACCACAGAGAAGAGCCAAGGGAACATGAGAGTGAACAAGATGTGGTCCCTGCACTGAAGGTTTCAGCCAATCGAGAGGACTGGCAAAGAGGTGGCCTCAAGAGTGTGAAACGACAGAAGCACGGGGACAGCCAAAGATGAGGCGGGGCCAGGTCAGCGGGGAAGGCCTCAGAGGTGACAGCTGCATCTGAGAAACCCAGGAAAGACCGACCTGGGCAAAGCAGGAGGGACAAGCACAGCAGGAATTCTATTTGGCCCAAGGGAGAAGTGCAAAAGGAAGTAAAGGAGAAAGAACAGCACATGTTCTAGCAATTGAAAACAGCATTTCAGTATGTCCAAGACAAACTGCTGCAGAGGGAAGAGGGCGCATGCCCAGAAGATGAAGCCAGAAGCCAAATCACAAAGGGCTTTGTGTGGCATGCTGAAGAGTCCGGCCTTTGCTCTAAAGGCCAAGCACAGAACATGAAGCTGAGGAGCAAAATGGGCCGATGTGCAGTGTAGAGGAACGGATAAGATGGGGAAACCTGCAAGTAAGCAGAATACGAAGATGAAACCCAGATTTTGAAAAATGCTCTAGGCCAGTGGCAGTGAGAAGACGAGGAGGAGATTAGTCATGCGAGGAGGATAAACTCCGTGTAAAGTGACTGCAGTGAGAGGGAAAGAAGATAAGTGAAGGACAATTCTTTTTGGGTTTGTTTTTTTTCGGCTTTAACAAACAGAAATTTATTCTCTCACAGTTGAGGACAGAAGTCCAAATTCAGAGCGCCAGTTGCAGGAGGAAGTCTTTCTCTCTGTTGGTTCTGGAGGGAAGGTCCTTGTCATCAGTCTTCCCTTGGCTTAGTAGCTTCTCAGTTCGGGGACCTCAGGTCCAAAGGACGCTCTCCACTCTCGGCGCTTCTTTCTTGGTGGGATGAGGTCCCTTGTCTCTGCTTGCTTCTCTCCTTCTATCTTTTTTGGCTTTGCTTTCTTTTTTTAAATTGTACTTCAGGTGAAGGTTTACAGAAGTTTCTCATGAAACAGCAGTACACATATTGTTTTATGACATTGGTTAACAACTCCACATGTCAACTCTCTCCCTTCTCGACCTCTTTCTCCTTTTATCTCTTGTAAGATGAAAGGTGATGCAGGTCATACCCCATGGAAACTCAGGGCTGTGACCTGAGTAAGGGTGTTGCATCCCACCCTAATCCTTTTTATTTTTTTCCCATACAAAGATTTATACACACATTGTTATGTGACTCTAATTGCTCTCCCCATACTGTGACAGCACACTCCTCCTTTCAACCCGATTCCCCATGTCCATTCAACCAACTCCTAACCCTCTCTGCCTTCCCATCTCACCTCCAGACAGAAACTGCCCATTTAGTCTCTTGTACTTACTTGAGCTAAGAGGCACACTCTCCACGAGTATCACTTTATATCCCACAGTCAAGTCCAATCTCTGTCTGAAGAGTTGGTCTCGGAAATTGTTTTAGTTCTGGGCTGATAGAGAATCCAGGGGCCATGCCTTCCAGGGTTCCTCCAGTCTGTCAGACCATTAAGTCTGGTCTTTTTACTAGAATTTGAGTTCTTGCACCCCACCTTTCTCCTGCTCCATCCGGGACTCTCTGTTGTGTTCCCTGTCAGGGCGGTCATTGGTGGTAGCCGGGCACCATCTAGTTCTTCTGGTCTCAGGCTGATGAAGTCTCTGGTTTATGTGGCCCTTTCTGTCTCTTGGGCT